TCATAGTGTGTCCTTTGTTGGGTCCTGTCCTCGTGGGTGATTGCGCTGTGAGGAGGATAGATCCGCCCCAGAGGTATGGGTGCTAGAGACTGATCGCGTGTTCTTGCTGGGTCTTGTCGGCGTAGGTGATCGGGCTGTGAGGAGGATGGATCCGCCCCAGAGGTATGGGGGTTTGTGTCCGCATTGTGTGTAGGATAGATCCTGCTCACAACAACGGGGCGTGTCCTTGTTGGGTCCGCATCGTGCGGAGGATAGATCCTCCTCACAATAACGGCGGGTGTCGTTGCTGAGTCCTGGTGTCGGAGGTGATGGGCTGTGAGGAGGATAGATCCGCCCCAGAGGTCGATGGATAACTAAAAGGGGTTCGATGCATGACTAGAATAGTTGGATGAATACCGAAAAGGGTTCGATGCACAACCCTAGGGGTTCGGTAGACAACTATAATGGTTCGATGCACCACAAGAAGGGCTGGAAAATGTTCATTCAACCCTAGTAGTTCGAGCCCTTCTTGTTGTGCATCGAACCATTATCGTTGTCTGTCGAACCCCTCTGGTTGTGCATCGATTCATCGAACTATTCTACTCATGACTCGAACCCGTTCTATAACCAAGACCCATGGACAACACACGGAAACGGACAGAACAAGCTCAAACCGAAACAAGACCCGTGGACAACACATTGCAACACTGAGACTGACGTGTCGATGACGTCAGCTTACCTTTCAGCTTGAGGAGGATAGTATAGCTTCTTTTTCGTCCAGGGCGCTCGCCGATCCCCTTGGTGATGAAGATGGAGAAGATGGCGCTTGACGATCGCTCCTTTCAGGTGTGTCGTGGATACGAAGAGCTCGCGAAGATGGAGAAGACAGAGCTGGAGAAGACAGAGACGATGACGATAACGAGAGATAACCCCGAGATGGAGAAGATGGAGGAAGATGGAGAACGAGGCCGGAGATGATAACGAAAGACAACCCCGACGATAAAGAAAGAGATAATGAAAGATAATGAAGATGGAGAGACGTACAAGGAAAATGGAGAGGTTGGAGAAGGAAGGTGAATATGGGGAGGATGGAGATGACGACAATGACGAGACGTGAAGATGGAGAGGTGAAGAAGTGAGATGCAGAAGGAGAAGGAAGATGAATATGGGAAAGGAGGATGGAGAAGACGACGAGATATGGAGATAGATGGAGAAGATGGAGAAGGAAGATGGATATGGAGAAGGAAGATGCAGAAAACGAAGAAGGAAGACGACGACGAAGAAGGAAGACGACGACGATGACGAAAGTGAAGGAGGCAACAGAGGCGCAGGAGTACGGCTACCGGAGAGATGGAAGATGTCGACGATGACGAATGTGAAGAAGACAACAAAGGCGCGAGAGAAGAAGATGGAAAGATGGAGAAGGAAAATAAGATGGAGAAGGCAACACGAAGACAAACAAGAAAGAAGGCAGAAGGAAGACGAAGAAGGAAGAACAAAGAAGGCAGAAGGAAGACGAAGAAGGAAGATGGCGACGAAGACGAAGAAGGAAGATGGAGAAAACAAAGAGGGAAGATGGTGCGAGAGTAGAAGATGGAGAATAGTGCGAGAGAAGAAGATGTAAACGAAGGGAGAAAACGAAGAGGGAAGATGGTGCGAGTGATGGGTAACAGGCAACTGGATGGGGACAACGATGGCGATCACGACGGCGGTCTTCATGCGAGCGATTACATATGGTGGCGCAGGGAGGGCGTAGCTGTGAGGGCGATCTGCGTGCGACCAAGTATCTGACCGGACGTGGACAGCGATGGCATATCCCCAAGGACGATCACGAATTGGATGGCGTAGTGGCGAGGCAACCGATCGCGTTCATGAAGCTCGCGCTTGCGAGCGAGTATATATGGCGGCGCAGCGAGGGCGTAGCCACGAGGGCGATCTGTGTGCGACAAGTATTTAACCGGAGGCCGGCAGCGATGGCGTAGCCGCAAGGGCGATCACGAACTGGATGGCGCACCCGCGAGGCAACCGATCGTGTTCACGAAGCGCGCATTTCGTCCAGGCTAACGACGGCGCAGCATGGTCTCCCCGCAATCGCGACATCAAGAAAATGACGTGGGTTCTGGTCCGCAAGCATATATGCGTTTGAATTTAAGGCGCGAAGCCTAAAAATGTTTTGGCGCCGGTAGAAAATTTCGCGAAACGACAAAAAGGCGCCCAAAATTTCACGAAACGACAAAAGGCCCTCAAGCCCTGAATGCGGTCCTGATTTGTCGTCCCAATCCCAGACACGTCCGCGTGAGGAGAATGACGTCCTGGGGTTGTCGCGGTACTGGTTTTCTCGTCGGCTAGAGGAGGCCTGTGAAAAGTTCGGGAATCGTACGGCGCCACACAACCTCCCTATATCGAACGGTCAGGATTCGTCGATGGGGAAGGGCCCACGCTTTTGCCTGCGGATCGTCCACAGTCCAGAGGGTATTCATTGACAACATGCAATTCTTTTGCGTCATTTCGCCGGGTTGTTGTTCGAAGCGCCTTGCTATCGCGTCGTCGACGAGGACACAGCCATCGCCACGTCGAGGTGAGCACCCTCCCGTCGCTGGTCCAGTTGCACACACACAGAAACACGGCTGTCAAGAACGCATCGCCACGGGCAACCGTCTCCAACGCCAAGAATGCATAGCCACAGGCAACCGGCGTCTTGCGCATATGGCACTTGACATGTTGTCTTGCGCAACCGTCATCAAGAATAACACACCTGGATACCTGTTGCGGTCGTTGATCCCCCACTGTTCCACCCAGATGCTGCGCAACGACCACGTGAAGAACTGTGCGCATGATATCACCCGCCATGCAGAATATCCTCTCCGTAACCATAGTGTCAAGAACACCGTGCCCTCGTAGTTCCTTGCCCGAACAAGGTCTCGCAATCTACGCTTACACAAGCATACGTCACCCACTATGTTGTCTTTCGCCAACCCGGGCACGCCTGTATACTTGTTGATGCCCAGAGTCGTGCACATGACGTCACCCGCCACGTCCAGAGTTGTGCGCATGACGTCACCTGCCATGTGCAATGCCCTTTCCCGCCCAGGCAACTTGTCTTTCACCCAACTCCAAGAACCTGTTGAACATCAAATGCCCCAGCCCAAGGCAGACTGCGACCGCGAAAACACAACCTTGTCATGTCTGATATTGACCTCCAAGCCCCTGACAGCGTGTATACAAATCGAATGTCATCGGTGGCTATCGAACACCATCCTCGACTAACATCAACGCCATCGCCAGGCGGGGTGACGGGAGTACTTCCAAGAACCTCGTGTGACATCGAACGTCATCGGTGGCTATCGAACACCATCCTTGACTAACATCAACGCCAACGCTAGCCGGGGTGACGGGAGTACTTCCAAGAACCTCGTGTGACATCGAACGCCATCCTCACCTAACATCAAACTCCATCGCCAGCCGGAGCACATCCCGAAACCGGTGCACAAGCCTATTGTTCTTTGGCACGATAGAGAAGAACTGAAAACAAACAGACAATGCTAGCAGTTCTGGCACAACAGTCACCCTCTCACACGCCACTTGCTGCACTGCTCATTATATGATCCATCGTCCCCGCAATTCTACCCATTGAAACAATGCACATGCTCAGTGTAGGATCTATCCACCCCACAATTCCCCCTAAAAGAGACCAAATCCTCAGTGGAAGATCTATCCGTCCCACAGCATCCACATTGCATGACCTTTTCTCATTATCGGATCTAGCCGCCTCACAATTCACTGGATTTGTATCAGACCCAGGTTTCTCAGAAAGAGCGCAAATGTTCAGTGGAGGATCTATCCGCCTCACAGCATCCACCTCCCACGGCTTTTCTCATTATCGGATCTATCCGCCCCACATTTTCCCCTATAGTGAGCATTTGGCCTCAATCAGAGAGGGTCTATCCGCCCCACTAGTAACCCACATGGTTTTTGCTCACTATCGGATCTATGCGCCCCCCAACTCCCCCGATTTGCCTAAGACTTCTCTCAAAGAGGACACATACTCAGTGGCGGATCTATCCGCCCCACAATTCTAGGGTTCCCGCCAAGTGTCCACATACTGGGCCAATATTCTCAGGTTTCCATGAAAGAGGTCAAATGCTCAGTGGAGGATCTATCCGCCCCACATGTCCCACAAATGTGTCTCAGCGGAGGATCTATCCGCCCCACAACATCCACCACACATGGCTTTTGCTCATTATCGGATCTACCAACCTTGTCCTCCCACCCCACAACTCCCCCGATTTGCCTCAGACTTCTCTCAAAGAGGACACATACTCAGTGGCGGATCTATCCGCCCCACAATTCTAGGGTTCCCGTCAAGTGTCCACATACTGGGCCAATATTCTCAGGTTTTCATGAAAGAGGTGAAATGCTCAGTGGAGGATCTATCCGCCCCACATGTCCCACATATGTGTCTCACCGGAGGATCTATCCGCCCCACAACATCCACCACACATGGCTTTTGCCCATTATCGGATCTACCAACCTTGTCCTCCCCACATTGTGAGGTTTTTCGTAAGGAGCGCAAATGCTCAGTGGAGGATCTATCCACCCTACAGCATCCACTTCGCACTTCTTTTTCTCATTATCCTCCGCCACACATGTATGGGTACTAGAGAGTGATCGCGTGTCCTTGCTGGGTCCTGTCCGCGTAGGTGATCGCGCTGTGAGGAGGATAGATCCGTCCCAGACGTATGGGGGTGTTTGAGGAGGATCGATCCGCCCCGAATATGTGAGCCCTGCTGCCGGAGGATCGGAGCATGGCTCTTGTGATCTCTGTAGCGGATCTATCCTCTACACAACGGGCGCATATCCGTCGACAAGTTCCGGTGGCCGTGCTCCAATCTATGGGTTTAAGTGCCCGCATTGTGTGAATGATTGATCTTCCTCACAACAACAGCGTGGGTCATTGCCGGGTCCTGTCGGCGGATGTGTCCGCGCTGTGAGGAGGATAGATCCGCCTCACAAGTTAATGGGTTGCTAGGGAAAACCTGAAAGGCGTCTCGCATGTGTACTAGAAAGTGACGGAGCTTGAATTAAGCTAGCGCTACTTAACAAAACAATGATTCAGTCAATCTACGCAGAATGAATCGGTCCCTAAGGAAGCCCCGAAAGACGGTGCTGATAGGTACTAGAAACTAGTCGCGCTGTGAGGAGGATATATCCGGCCCATAGGTTTGGGGGTTTGTGAGGAGGATAGATCCGCCCCACAGGTATGCGTACTAGAGAGTGATCGAGTGTCCTTGTTGGGTCTTGTCCGTGTAAGTGATCGCGATGTGAGGAGGATAGATCCGCCCCAGAAGTAAGGGGGTTTTGTGAGGAGGACCGATCCCCCCGAGACATCCGAGCTCTGCTGCCAGAGGATCGGATCGCGACTTCGATCTTCCTCACAACAACAACGCGGGTCATTGTCGGGTCCTGTGGGCAGATGTGTATACGCTGTGACGAGGATATATCCGCCCCAGAAATTAATGGGTCGCTAGGGAAATCCCGAAAGGCGTCTCACATTGGGGCTAGAAAGTGACGAAATTTGAATTAAGCTACTTAACAAAACAATATTGGATGATTGGACACGGTGAGAGAGGAGCATGTCTTCCATAACTTGTCGGCGGATGTATGCCCGTTGTGCGGAGCATAGATAAATCGGGTAAAAAAACAATCGCCGAAAGTTCAAGGGGTTCTACGTTCAGTCAATCTACGCAGAATGAATCGGTCCCTAAGGAAGCCCCGAAAGGCGGAGCCTATGGGTACTACAAAGTGATCGCGCTGCGAGGATGATAGATCCGCCCCAGAGGTATGGGGATGTGTGAGGAGGATAAATCCGCCCCACAAGTATGGGTACTAGAGAGTGATCGCGTGTCCTTGCTCGGTCCTGTCCGCGTAGGTGATCGCGCTGTGAGAAGGATAGATTCGTCCCACAAGTACGGGGGTTTCTGAGGAGGGTCGTTAAAGTGCCAACATTATGTGAAGGATTGATCTTCCTCACAATAACAGCGCGGGTCGTTGCCAGGTCCTGTCGACAGATGTGTCCGCGTTGTGAGGAGGATAGATCCGCCCCAGAAGTTAATAGGTCGATATGGGAAACCCGAAAGGCGTCTCGCATGGATACTCGAAAGTGACGAAATTTGAATTACCTACACATGTGAAAAATGTTGCATATGCATGTGGGGAGGATGTATCCTCCCATGGGATTTCGGGCTACCTGTCGGAAAAACCTGCGCTGTTGGCTTTGGTGGGCAATCTCGACTTCGCGTGTTTTTCTAGGTTCGCCGTCACTGTCTCACCAACCTGATATCGATTCTCCAATACCGTGAACATGATCGCAGGCAAAGAAACGCCACACTGCTCTGCTCGAGCTTTTCCCAACGCCAGTTCCTGAACAAGGAATCCAAAGCATGCCCAGGATAAACTGCACAACGTCAAGGACCATGCTCCTTCGTTTCTCTTTTCAACAGCTCCCAATATAGGTGCAAACGGTGCTGCGCTAGCTGAGCGACCTACTGTTTAACACTTCGCGAGGGTGGTTCTCATATTAGTCGTGGTGTCTCGAGGTAGAGGCTCATACATTATTGCTACCAGACTGTGGGTCGGATACATCTGACTCACAGTCATTATTCCCCAGATGTGGGTGGGAAGGATATATCCTCCTCTGGGTTTTAGGCGTCTTGAGAATACTGCACCATTGATGTTTGTTGCCAATTCGGACCGTGCATGTCGACCTCGAGTCGCTTTCCCTGTGGGGAGGATGTATCCTCCTCTGAGTCTTCTGCGACTGTAAAACCTGCACCACAGGAGCTGGTTGGCAATGCCGACTGTGACTGTCGACGAGCAGCCCCCTTTATCGTCGATCGACAACGGTTCTTTGATGCCCAGAACACAACGCTCCCTACAAAGGTGCAAAAGGCGCTGTGGAAGGTCATCCACTGACTGATTAGCACATCTCGAGGGTGCTCCCCATGACTGCCTGATTTGCAAGTTTGATTTCTGGTTTTCATTGACAGACAACTTTTTCAACGCCTCTTTACCGGCCAATGAAGATCAGAGGACAACATATGCGTGTGGGGAGGATGTATCCTTCTCTGGGTTTTTGCCAGTTGTCTGGAAAGCTGCACCATTGGAATACGTCGGCAATGTCGACTGTGCCTGTCTACAACGTTTCACTTGGCAACCGCAGGCGACAACCTTCTACATGTTATCTTTGGTCATCCTCCATCTATAGCCTATCTTCTCGCAGGGGCCATCGACAACCTATCTCTGGGCAGCCGCCATCTACAACCTATCTTTGGGCAGCCGCCATCTAGAACCTACCGTGTCGCAGCCGCCATCTAGAAGTTGCCGTGTCGCAGCCGCCAGTCATAGCCTACCTTTGGGCAGCCGCCATCTTAAACATATCTTTGAGCAATCGCCTCGCGACCGATCTTTGGGCGGGCGCCATCTACAACCTATGTCTGGGCAGCCGCCATCTAGAGCTTGTCTTTGGGCTGCCGGCATCTAAACCTACCATGTTGCGGCTGCCTTCCAGAGCCTGCCTTTGGGCAACAGCAATCTAAAGCGGATCTTTGGGCAGCCGCCATCTAAAGCCTTTCTTTGGCCAACCGCCATCTAAAACCTATCTTTGGGCAGCCGCCATCTAGAGCCTATCTTTGGGCAACCGCCATCTAGAGCCTATCTTTGGTGTGTCGACTGTGCCTGTCTACAACGTTTCACTTGGCAACCGCAGGCGACAGCCTTCTACAGGTTATCTTTGGTCACCCTCCATCTAAAGCCTATCTTCTCGCAGGGGCCATCTACAACCTATCTCTGGGAAGCCGCCATCTACAGCCTATCTTCGGGCAGCCGCCATCTAGAACCTGCCGTGTCGCAGCCACCAGTCAGAACCTACCTTTGGGCAACCGCCATCTTAAACATATCTTTGGGCAGCCGCCTCGCGACCGATCTTTGGGCGGGCACCATGTACAACCTATCTCTGGGCAGCCGCCATCTAGAGCTTGTCTTTGGGCTGCCGCCATCTAAACCTACCATATCGCAGCCGCCTTCCAGAGCCTACCTTTGGGCAACCTCAATCTAAAGCGGATCTTTGGGCAGCCGCCATCTAAAGCCTTTCTTTTTTTATGTCTTTGGGCAGCCGCCATCTAGAGCCTATTTTTTGGGCACCCGCCATCTAAAACCTGTCTTTGGGCAGTCGCCATCTACAGCCTACCAAGTCGCAGCAGCCATCCAGAGCCTGTGTTTGGGCAACCGCCATCTAACGCCTGTCTTTGGGCAGCCGCCATCTAAAGCCTAACATCGGGAAGCCGCCATCTAAAGCCTATCGTTGGACGCCGCCATCGAAAACCTAGCTTTGGGCAGCCTCCAGCTAGAGCCTGTCTTTGGGCAACCGCCATCTACAACCTATTTCTAACCAGTTGCCATCTAAAGCCTATCTTTGGCAGCCGCAATCTAAAACATATCTTTGAGCAGCCGCCACTGACAGCCTACCAAGTCGCAGCTGTCAACCAGATCGTACCTTAGGGCGGCCGCCATCTAAAGCATATCCTTGGGCAGCCGCAATCTAAAGCCTGTCTTTGGGCAGCCGCCATCTAAAGTCTATCTTTAGGCATCTGCCATCTAAAGCCTATCTTTGGGCAGCCGCCATCTAAAACCTATCTTTAAGCGGCGAGCATCTAGAGCCTATCCTTGGGAAGCCGCCATCTACAGCCTACCATCTACACCCAATTGACTGAATGCAATGATCAATGACTGCATATTCATGTGGGGAGGATGTATCCTCCTCTGGGTCTTCTGCGACTGTAAAACCTGCACCACAAGAGTCGGTTGGCAATGCCGGCTGTGCTGTCGACCTAGAGCGGCCGTCCCTTTATCGTTGATCGACAATGGTTCTTCGATGCCCAGAACACAACTCTCCCTACAAAGGTGCAAAAGGCGTTGTGGAAGGTCATCGACTGACTGATTAGCACATCTCGAGGGTTCTCCCCCTGAGTGCCTGATTCGCTAGTGTGATTTTCGGTTTTCATTAACAGGCAGCTTTTTCAACGCCTCTTTACCGGCCGGTGAAGATCAAAGGACAACATATGCTTGTGGGGAGGATGTATCCTCCTCTGGGTTTTTGTGCTAGCTGTCTGGAAAACCGGGTCCGCTTTCTGGTGCCCGGTAACTGGCGATAAATCATCGCGACCGGACGCTAATGATCTATGGATTGCATGTCCCTGTGAGGTTTACAGTGTCTGGAAAACCTGCACTGATGGTGTCAGTTGGCATGGCTGACACCAAGAGACGCCGTCCGTGCACTCTGTGACTGTCGACAGAGAGCCGTCGTCGCTTCCGTGCCGACTGGAGAGCAGTCGTGCACACTACTCTGGGTTTTTGAGCTACCCTTACGAGCAAACCCGCTTTCCGATGTCCGATAATAGGCGATAAGGCTTCGTTACCGGACGCTAATGATCTACGGATTGCATATCCCTGTGGGGAGAATCAGGGTTTACGACGTCTGCAAAACCTGCACCAATGGGGTCAGTTGGCAATGTCGACCGTCCCGGTCGAGCAAGAGACGCCGTCCGTTTCGATTATGTAATACCGTGAATGTAGTGCACCCTATGCCTATGGACGTAGAGTCGTCGTCGCTATCGTACTAACTGGACAGCTGTCATGCACAATACTCTGATCGACGCCTTTCCCTCTGCAGTCCATGGACAACTGATCAAAAGCATTCCCAAATAGACTTCACAACGCCAGGGATGGTGTGGGCAGTGCTGTATTGGACAGAACGGTAGGATCATGCCGGTTCTTCTCCCCTTATGACCGCTCCCTACATAGGTCTAAATGGCGCTGTGGCGGCGAAGCGACTTCGCGAGAGTTTAACAATTCTCTCTTCACAACCACTCCATACGTAGCTTCTTCGACGCCTCGTGACTGGTCGATAATGATCAAAGGACGGCATATGCTTGTGGGGAGGATGTATCCGCTTCTGGGTTTTTGTGCTAGCCCTCTGGAAACCCGAGTCAGCTTTTCGGTATCCAATAATTGGCTATTTTTTAGTGGCCTCGCGACCGGATGCCAATGATTAATGGACTGCAAATGGCTGTGGGGAGGATGTATTCTCCCCAGGGTTAACGGCGTCTGGAAAAACTGAACCGCTATTGGTGTCGGTTGGCAATGCCGACAGTCTCGCTCGAGCAAGAGACGCCTTCCCTTTTGGTCATGTGATACCGTGAATGCAGTGCACCCTATGCCGGTTCTTCTCCCTTTACAACCGCTCCCTACTTAGCTTTTTCGACGCCTCGTGACCGATCGATAATGATCAAAGGACGGCATATGCTTGTGGGGAGGATGTAGGTTTTTGTGTTAGCCCTCTGGAAACCCGAGTCAGCTTTCTGGTGTCCAATAATAGGCTACTTTTCAGTGACCTCGCGACCGGATGCCGATGATCAATGGACTTCGAATAGTTGTGTGGAGGATGTATCCTCCTCAGGGTTAACAGCGTCTGGAAAAACTGAACCGCCATTGGTGTCGGTTGGCAATGCCGATAGTCCCGCTCGAGCAAGAGACGCCGTCCCTTTTGGTTATGCCATACCGTGAACGCAGTGCACCCTATGCCCATCGAGCTATAGCCATCGTTGCTGCCTGCCGACTGGACAACTGTCTTGCACACTTCTTTGGTCTATGCCTTCCCCACTTCGGGCCCTGGAAACCTGAGCCAGCTTTCCCGTGTCCAATAATAGGCTACTTTCAGTGGCCTCGCGACCGGATGCCAATGATCAATGGACTGCAAATAGCTGTGGGGAGGACGTATCCTCCTCAGGTATATGTCGTCCTTTGATCATTATCGACCCAGAGGCATATCCCCACAAGCATATGCCGTCCTTTGATCATTATCGAGCGGTCACGAGGTGTCGAAAAAGCTACGTACGGAGCGGTTGTAAAGGGAGAAGAACCGACATAGGGTGCACAGCGTTCACGGTATCACATAACCGAAAGGGAAGGCGTCTCTTTCTCGAGCGAGACTGTCGGCATTACCAATCGACACCAATGGCGGTTCAGTTTTTCCAGACGCCGTTAACCCAGGGGAGGATACATCCTCCCCACAACTATTTGCAGTCCATTGATCATTGGCATCCGGTCGCGAGGCCACTGAAAAGTAGCCTATTATTGGATACCGGAAAGCTGACTCGGGTTTCCAGAGGGCTAGCACAAAAACCCAGAAGCGGATACATCCTCCCCACAAGCATATGCCGTCCTTTCGGTTACGCGACACAGTGAACGCAGTGCACCACAGGCATACGATGCACTGCGTTCACGGTATCGCATAACCGAGAGTCGTCCTCGTTGCCTGCCGACTGAACAACTGTCGTGCACACTACTCTTGGTACGCCTTCCCCACTTCAGGCCCTGAATAGTTGAAGAAAAGCATCTCCAATAGACTTCGTAATGCTACGAATGATGTGGGCAGTGCTATATTTGACAGGAAGGTAGGATCATGCTGGTTCTTCTCCTTTTACAACCGCTCTAGGTCTGAGCTCGGAAATTATTGTTAACATGATGCTATGTAGCAAGAGGTCTTACAAACCTTATGGGGTTGTGAAGCGGATGGATCCGCCTGACAACTTACGGTGTAGCCTAATATGCGCTTTTGCTGCCCCTTTCTGACATGATGCATCGTCCCAAGGGGTCTCACATACCTTATTGCGGAACGGATGGATCCGCCACACATGTTACGATATAGCCTAATTATGCACGCATGCTTCCCCCTTCTACTGGAACCCTCGCACATACATTGGACTAAGTCCTTATGACTTGTTGCCGTCTGATTCTGTTTATTGTGAGCAGTCAAAATTTCATTTCTGCCTCTGCGCAAATTCTTAACTACAGGACGACTGTTTTCTGTACGTAGGGTGATTTGCAGTTGCAGGAACCTCTCCTTTTTCCATAGGTCTCTTCTCAATCTCTCACCTACACTGCATGCATCTCGCCGAAATGTTGCTGTTCATTTAGCCGAGTGGCTTGTGTTATCATTTTGGAGCACTGGTAGTCACACCGGCGAGCTCGTCAGATAGTGTTCCATCACCGATTCCAGGGACGTCTTCTTTGCACAAGGGTAATAACGTGGAACGATAAAACTTCATCGAGGATTGTTCACAACAGTTGCAAACATGGAATACTGCACGGGCGATATGGAAGGTACGTAAGGATGGAGCTGTGCATGCGGGTGTTAGACTTTATTCCTCGCATGATCCTGATAGCGGCATCCAAAGGCTTGTGGGCAGTGCCAAGATGTCAAGCCGAGGTGGTGAGGAGTACTTGGGTAGCCTTCGCTGTAGTGTGACGGAATATGTAACCACATGAGGAGGTTGCGGGACTGAACAATCATCCGCCGAATTATTGTCTACAGTTGGGGTTGTTTCGCAAGAGAACAACTTTGACGATAGTGGATCTCATGGTGTTCCACATTCCCATTCTCACGTTAGTGGACACCATACTGGGTCTTGGGATGTCCACTTCCTCTTACTCTAAGGATAACACTTCACGTAGTGAATCTCATGAGGAGAGAGATATTCACTACATTCTTCCCGCACCATTGCCCGGAGAGAAAAGACCATACAACATGGCCAACAAAGCCGCTACGAAACGAGTCCAAAACAAAAGAGCTTTGACTAAGCTTAGGCTAGAATCTCTTCAAAGTGTGCGTGGTATGCTTTGTTGTAGAAAATTTTGTTGTGCAAATCTTACTGCTGATGATGTTAAGCCAGTCAGGGAGGGTTTGTACTCCAAAACATTTGCAGACAGGAGGAAGTGGTGGTTGCAATCAATACACGACTTCACCGTAATGGAGGGTGATGTTGAGCGAACTCGACCAATTCTATGCAGACAAAAGTTGTGCGTGCAAGCGTATTGTAATATACTGGGTATTTCACGAAATACCTTTTATATTTACAAAAGGATGTATCACAACAATGTCGTGCACGCAGAACACGGTTGTACGGGTATATGTAGTCCTTCGAACAAAGTAGTCACAATGCTTGCATGCATGAAAAAATTCATTGACGATCACGCTGATGATATGCCAAATGAAATGGTTAGAAACGACAATGTTTGCAGACCACGCCGTAGGATGCCGGCCACTTTTACCAAAAGATCCATTTATGAATCCATTCAATCTGACTCGAAGGCTGAAGGACAGGAAGTCGTCTCCGAGTCTACCTTTTACGCCATGTGGAGCAAACACTTTTGGCACGTTAGTATGGCCCAATCCAACACGTTTATGAAATGTGTTCTATGCAACTACTATAAGCAGTGCATAGTTAAGGTGAAGTATGAACGAGACCGTAAAAAGTTTAAGATAAAGATGAAAGAACACCAGAAGCGGCAAGTGAACCATATGCAAGATTACTCTCTTGCAAAGCTCGATTCAATATTGCGTCCTGTTGAGCATCTCTGCCTCATAATTGATGGCATGGTTCAGAAGACAACCACATTGCCTCACATCGGGCAGGCAAACTACTCAAAAGACTTGCAACACGACAGGATGATGAGAACCACTCTTAAAGCAGTAATCGCCCACGTATACACGTACTTTCCATACTACAAGCACAATGCTAGTAGCACATCTACATGCTTGATGAGGACTCTTTGTGAAATTCAGGCTTTAGGGACACCGCTTCCTCCTCGATTGCGTATTCAAGTGGATAATTGTTGGAAAGAAAATAAAAATCAGTTCATATGTGGCTTGGTAGCACTTCTTGTGAAGTTCGTCTTAATAAAATCGCGGACTGGAAAAATATGGTAGCACCATATCTCGGAACTGATATAACCGGTATCTCGAAGCCACATTTACTTAAGTTTTATATGGTAGGTGATAATCCAGCAATGTCGTACAAAGATTTTTACGACGATATGGAATGGTTGCCCAAAGACGGTCCGCTTTTCTGGTTTAAAAGAGATGACGACAGCAAGTATGCTAGTCCATTGCAACCATTCGACCCTTTTCCGAGTCAACCGGCAGAGCTGGAGTATTACAAGAATGGATGCGAAGGTGTGGATCGTTTTCTGCATTTATTCCGAGAGAAAAGGTCGACGTGAAGTACTTATCAGGATAAAGAGGTAGCTCGTATAGAAAATGTTTTTGCTTATTGGGAGAGTGTTAAAGAACACGAAGCTTATATCATCGCAAATGGGGTATCCAAGACACCAATGACATCCTTTTGGCCTTCTGCCTCGAAGAGACAAGAGGAAGAAATTGTGCGGTCCGATTCAGAAGAATCTGAAAGAGAACCATTGTTCGTCGGACACAAAAAGGATCGTCCGAAGACAAACTTTGACCGAATTTTGGATGTTGAGAAAGACAGTTTCGTTATTATGCAACCACCAGATGAAGAACTTGGAAAGGGTGTTCCGTTTTGGGTGGGTCAAGCGCTGACTCCAGTTGTCATAGACAAGGACTCTGAACATTACAACCAGGTAAAAGTTCAATACTGGATTCCTACGGGGAAATCGCGTTCGCTTAAGGAACGTTATGAGAATGCGTGGGAGAAAAACTGAAAAAGATCTGTTGAGGATGAGGAGCAATGGCAGAATGCTGATGAGGTGGCATTCGCATGGAAACGAGCATCGAGAGGAAGAGTTTTCACCAAACCATTCACCTCGGGCCTTGTAATTCCGTCTAAAGTCCGGGTTAATACACTTGCTGCTCTGGTTGGAGAAGATGGTGTTCATATAGATGATGGTGTCAGCGCACAAATTTCTGAGGGAGCCACGGATAGTGTTTCATCAAGGGCAGGATTCGGTGTCTGAGGTGACTCTACGGCGATCCAAAGACCACCATGTCCAAGGTCGAAAATCGATCCGGAACTCTTTATGAGAAGAACATATTGTCGTGTTGGACTGTGTACAACACTCTTAACTCCATGGAATACATCGTGTAATGATTTGTGCTCTCTTGGTTGCGCGCTTCAAATCAACAACAGTTCTTCATCAATTTTTGACATTGAGCGTGGGGGCGTTTTGGTCGTCGTAGCATGACCTTAGGCTTTCGATCCTGACCTTGATGAAACGATTTTACTGTGACTTTTGTCTTTTGCAATGTACAGACTTTCCTCTTTTGACGTACTTCGAAAACATGGCTGAGAATTCGGGCTTCATTGAAATAAAAGTGTCTGAACGACTGACGATCGTCACAAAGGGAGGAGCGTTTCCTTTTCAATATGAGAGAATCTTCAGGATCGTGGCGGGTGGACGGACTATGTTCGTCATCATGGTGAGGTTTACTGATCTGAATATTTTCGACATACGAATATATGAGCGTCGGGGAGAAAATTGGATGCGAGGATATTTTACAGGAGCTTATCTAAAAGCTTCAGAAGTTCTTCTCGCCTTGAGACGTACTGTGCTCGGAGCAGGGGGTGACATTGAGGGTTTCTCGTTTATCATTATGGAGTTTGAAGGTCAGCCTCAACCTCCAATCCCGGCTTGCATGGTGGACGGTTCGACATGGGAACCGATAGTGAATGCTCTGCGAAGAGGCTTCTTCTGAAGACTTCAATTTTTTAAGACTTTTGGTGACCAGTTTTACGTTTCTAAAGTTTTGTGTCATTATGTCGGATTTGTGAGCATTTCCGTAGTATAGACATTTTCTGATTATTTTTACTTTTCACCACTTTGAGAGACGAGTCTCGACACTTCCCAAGTTTTGTGGTCGAATGTCAGATTAGTTGAAATTTGCACACTGTAAAGTATTAACGAAAGCCACGAGTGCCGACCCTTGAGACGTGCTGTTGTCATGGCTGGGGGAGACGTTCAAGGTTTCTCGGTTTCCATTACAGGGTTTGAAGGTCTGCCTCAACCGCCTATTCCGGCTTGCATTGTGAACGATTCAACATGGATCCGAACCGCTAGTGAACGCTTTGCGAAGAGGCTTCTTTTGAAGATTTCAAGTTCAGGACACTTTGGTAACGAGTCTTACGTTTTTAGAGTTCCGTCAGGATGTCGGATTTGTGAATGTTTTCATAGTGTAGGTTTTTTCATAGATAAATATCGACATTTTCAAAGTTTTGTGTTCGAATGTCCAATTAGTTGAAATTTTCACACTGTAAAGTACTATGGGTTTCTGATTCTTCCTGCGTCCTCGCCTTGCAAACTGTTTGGTTGTGTAGAACGTGGGACTCAGTTTTGCAAGGTTTAGTTCACATTTTATGGCGTAGTGGGTGTTCTTGATTTGGATAGCCTTGCCAACTCTTTGGTTAATGAAAATTTTTGAGGTTACCGTAACTGTTACGAATTCACAATATTGGGACCAGACAACTGTTATCAGTTTTTACGGCGTACTTCTCATTTGTCTCGAGAATGGTTGTGTGCCTGCTTATGTAGGCTGGGTGTCCCGCTCTGTTTTTAATTTGTCTTCGCTTTTCAATCTAGTTCTGATGAGTTGTCAATTGTCTTCAAAATCCAGTGAGATCTTTCAAAATAATTATAAGGTCCTTGGTCACTTCAGCATCTAATAATCTGTACACAGTTTGATTCGGATGTATCCTACGCATTCGTTTGAGCCTTCTCCAATGCCCAATCCTCACAAGCGGTTATCGGGTAGCTGAAAATTCAGGAATGAAAATTATGAAGTGAGCGTTTTGGGCAGTCTGAAAATCCTGAATGGTTCTGAAGTGGTAAAAGGTCCGAAAACCCTGAAAACCACCTGTTTAGGCAGGCTGCATCCTGAAGTGGTGAAGGGTGTCCTGAAGTGGTCAAGTGAGAGTTTTGGGCAGTCTGAAAATCCTGAATGGTCGTGAAGTGGTGAAAGGTCCGAAGACCATGAAAAACACCCTTCACCACTTGAGGATGCAGCTTGCCTAAACAGG